AAAGGGTTCCCGTGCCCTGGGTCACTCAGCGCGGGGGAAGATGTCCTTTATGTGCCCGAGGGAGGGACGTAAGGGGCCGTCACCGCTGGCGGCCGGCCGGGCGGTTGGTGAGCCGTGGAACTGGGCGCAGGGCGACGCAGCTGGGTGGTGGCAGTGCCTCAGCTGCCCGGCACAGCCGCGGTGGGCAGTCAGCCCTCCCGCCCAGAAGCGCCCCACGTTTACCTCGCCCAAGGGTGCCACGCTGGACTTTTGGCCAGGCCCGTGGTGGCGGCGGAAGCTAGGCGTGCCTTGGGCAGCCTGCCGTAGACCCACGGTACAAATATCATCTCACGCTGAGCTCTGAGACCAGACAAGGCTTCCTTTAAACGTGTTTTGTTGTCAAATAAAAGGCAGAGCTGCTTCATTAATTGCTCTGGCTAATTATATCTTTCCAAGTTCATGCAGTGCTTCTTGCTCGGGCTGCATTGCCAATGCAGCTATTGCCCCCTTGTTCTGAAAGCCCTGCTAAATTGCACAGGCACTTTCTGCAATATTGTTTCTAAAGGCAGGGAGTATTTTTATTTAAATTCTTTTGAACAGTAACAATGTTGTGAAAAAAAGAAAAGAATCAGAAAAAGATGTCGGGAATGTGCATCTGCTTTTACATCGCTTTATTTTTTAGATAATGTAAGTAGTATGTAAACAACATTTGGATTTCACTTTAGTAAGTGGAAGCACAGTGGCTTTTAATAGCTTAAGGGCTTGTTCTGTTCCTGACTCGGCTACCGATTTGATTTGTGACTTTGGGCAAGTCATAACGCAGTCAGGTTTTAAAAAAAGGTCTCCAGTTTAAGGGGCCTGATTTCAGGCATTTGGGGCTCGATTTTGGTGAGCTTCCAGGCATTCACAGCCCCTATGAGTTTCAGTGCAAGGAGTAGGTGCTGCAAATCAGACTGTAAGCCATTCAAGCCTTTAAAGTTGACCTTGACACTCTGGGGCTTCTTTTCTAGGGCATGTGATTATTCTGGATGAACACGTGATTGAGGAGGTGTTTTGAGAGCCTCATGTGAGCGGTATAAATGTATGAGTTGTGATTTTTTTTTTTTTTTTTTTGTTATGCTTTTATATATTACTATAGCGAATAGAAATTTACTTGCTCTGGTGAAAAAGGCAATGTTCAATTAGAAGAAATCTGCTCTTAGGTGATGGAGGGGAGGATGTCAGTTTTGAACTGAGGCAGCTTGAGTCCTGTTACAGCTCTGCCGCAGGAGGACTGTCCCTGCAGGTCACTTCATTCACATCATGGGGTTTGGGATTCTGCTGAGGCACTTTGAGTCGGGTGCCTGGTTGCCCAGGGATGGTTCCTCTGAGAGACAGGCCAGTCTGCCTAAAATGAATCAGCCCCCCCAAGCACTGATCTTTGTGGACTGGAGAGGAGTCCCAGGGGAACTTGTCTCCCTGCTTGGGTGACTCAGCTACTTGGGGGGGATGAATTGGAAACTTAGCCCATGAGTGATGAAGATGCTGAAATACTATTGCTTCTGGCTTGAGTTGCAGATACTCACTGTTAAAGAAAGTCAGGGCAGGAGCATCTCGGCTTGTGTTCCTCATCTGTAAAACGAAGCTTACCTGTTTCAGCCCTAGCTTGGCATACAGGCCATAATCTTAATATTGGAAATTAATTTAGCTTTCATTAGGGATGTGCCCCTAGAATCAATTATGGTTTCATTAAATTTATTTCCTCTGCAGGCTTTTAAAATACATCAGCATTAACAAATTAGGAAAAGTGAATTTAAAAAAAACCAAATTCAGTTATGGAGAAAACATTATTGTTTAGCAGCCGAGGTGCTTATGTCTGTACCTGGCAAATTTTACTTCTGGTCTTCAGTGTTCATGAAAACAAGTAAACAAAAATTAGCTTTGAACTCACAAGTTAAATAAAATACGTGGCCTCAAAAAACCTTGCTCTCTACTGGGTGTTTCTACTTAGAGAAGCCTCCATATAGCACAGCAAATTCAGCTGCTGTCATTCCCATCTGAGGAGAGGCTGTGAATAGCAGCACTGCATGGTCCAGGATATTAGATTTGGGTGAAGTGGCAGAAAGCAGGGGATGGCTTGGAAATGCCTGTGTGCACTCATCAGTGTGCTCAGTCACACTTCAGCAGCTCTGAAGTAACTCCCATCGTTTTAAAGCAGAAGGCACAGTATTTTGCCTAATGAGGTTCACCCAAACATCTTGACTTTTCTGATATAAAGAAATAGTCAAGGAATGTGTTTGCTTTCAGTGCATTGGCACTTGAGTCTATGAGTTGGGACTCTCACAGTGTTTCTGGATAGTGTGTCGGTACAGATAGCCTGTTATTCGTGTCTTCAGAAAGCTATCGGTGCTCAAAACTTGAACAAGGAGCTGGAAGATTAATCTTCAATAAATCCTAATTGCTTATATAAAATAAGGACATAGTTATATTATTAGTTTGTAATGTAACAGAAAAGGCAACCTTTTCAGTTTACCGTGCATCAACACTGGGATACTTCTTTCACTATCCCAACAGGGTGAAGACGGCTTTTTCACTTGGCTCACCATGTTTTCCTATGTAGATGTTTGACTACGGTAGACTATTGCAGTAGATATCTTTGTCTTCAGAAAGGTCAGAAGAATGGTTGTTGTACTGAGACCACGGTATCAGCAGATACTAAGACAAAAGCAACAAAGAGCACATCATGTTTAACTAGCCAGACAGATGCCAAACTACCCCCCAGGACAGGAGGTGGTAATAAAACCCCTTCTTCATCTCCCCTTTGTGTTCCCCCAATTCCCCTTTCCCTGCTACAGTGCTGAAGTACTGCATGCTTCAGATAAAGTATAACCACCTCAATTTAAATAAGAAGAGCAAAAAGAATGGTGTCACTGTGGTCAAATAGTTGTTGCCTAATCTCATTGGTTGCAAACAGAGTAAGCCAAGCCATTGAATTGTACCTCTGGAACTGAGAAGGCTGATGTTTATTTAATATTTACGATGGTTTGAAAGTCATATGTAAAAACTGTCAGATTGAAGCTTGTCAAACAGCCGTAC